TTTTTTATGGGAAAAGCGCCGCAGGCGAAAATTTTTAATAAAAAATCTCGCGATTGCTATTATATTTTGGTTACATCTTATTTAGATGAAAGTAAAAAGAAGAAGAAGAAGAAGTGTATAGTGTAAACTGAGTATAATAGCGCAAATAAAATGTGAAATAAAGTGGCAATACCAGTGATTTGAGGTTATAATAATTTTAGCAGGCGCAAAGTTTGTTTACTCTGTTTTGTTAACGAAATATATAAAATAAAAGTGAATAAATGATTTGGATTGCATAAAATAATAACCGGGAACGTTTTAGTAGTGTTTTGAAAGTGGAAACTGGTGATTTAGTGCATTTTTGACGTGGTAGTTGCTCATAGAAAACAACGAAATTTAACAAAAGTTTTTTGTTCATAACTTTTAAATGGTTAATAATATTATCTTCCCCCCTCCGGATTGTTATTAGGGGGGCCGAAACGCGTCGTTTGGTACCCCTCCCGACTTTTCCGCACCTTTTTTAGGGGTTGTTACCCCACCCTAGAGAATTACCTAAGATATAATACCTTTTTGAGGAAACAAAATGTGTATACTGAGAAAAAATAAAAAAAATTCAACTATTATTAGGCAAGGAATTGTTAAAGAAGTGGCACTGTTTAAGCTAAATGAGTCAATATGGCGGAATCAGAGCGAGAAGTTGCCAACCGATAACACCTTGTATTATTGCATCATGATGCAACCGTGTCGAAATTTTCGTTGAGTATCGAATTTTCTGTCGAACAGAATTTTGCTATCGATGGTGTAGCGAAGTGTTACAAAATTGTAAAAAATGTATAATTTTGCCTTTGTTTTGTTGTTGTAGCGGCTACAAAAACCCCGCCCAGCTCGGTTGATATCTCAGTCGTTGTCGTCAAGTTCCACTAACGGCAGCCCTAGGAAGCGTGCAGCCTCCACCGGGTCGGTCCACATGGACAGAGCGGTTAGGGTTGTCGGGTTTTCCGGGTATGCGAAGAGATGTTTCGAGTCGTGTGGGGTCTCCGCATGCCGGACACTCATTTGGCACATCCGCATTCAGTCTACTCAGGTATGAGTTTAACCTGCTGCAGTAGCCAGAGCGAAGTTGGGCTATTGTTGTTCTTGTCTCCCGAGGCAGATGAAGCTCGGTCTCGTCTATGTCTGGTGGTGGTGTGCCTATAACGGCATTCACAGGTCTAGAGTCTACATA